ATCTTGGCGAGGATGCGGAGAAAGGGGAACCCTCCTACACTGTTGGTGGGAATGCAAGCTGGTGCAACCACTCTGGAAAACAGTATGGATGTTCCTCAAAAAGTTGAAAATAGAGCTACCCTATGACCCAGCAATTGCACTACTGGGTATTTACCCAACAGATACAAATGTAGTGATCCGAAGGGGCACATGCACCCCAATGTTTATAGCAGCAATGCCCATAGTAGGCAAACTATGGAAAGAACCCAGATGTCCATCAACAGATGAATGGATAAAGAAGATGTGGTGTGTGTGTGTGTCCTGTATACACACACACACACACACATACACACATACAATAGAGTATTAGGCAGCCATCAAAAAAATGAAATCTTGCCATTTGCAACGACGTGGATGGAACTAGAGGGTATTATGCTAAGCGAAATAAGTCAGTCGAGAAAGATAAATATCATATGATCCTACTGATATGAAGAATTTGAGAAACAAGAGAGAGGATCATAGGGAAAGGGAGGGAAAAATGAAACAGGATGAAACCAGAGAGGGAGACAAACCATAAGAGACTCTTAAACCCAGGAAACAAACTGAGGGTTGCTGGAGTGGAGGGGCTGGGAGGGATTGGGTGGCTGGTGATGGACATTGGGAGGGTATGTACTATGGTGAGCACTGTGAATTGTGTAAGCCTGATGAATCACAGACCTGTACCTCTGAAACAAATAATAGATTATATGTTAATAAAAAATTTTTAAAAATAATTTAATAAAAAAATCATTTTGATTAACAAATCGTATTTTACATTTACTAAAATAAAACAAGTTTATTAAAGGCAGTATCAATATTTTACCCATCTTAAGTTTATAATTGCTATACTATTAATGCCTATTAACTCAATTGCTGGAAACCTCAGGTTCTCTCAAAATGCTTACAAATGGGTTCCCTTTATTATGGATAATAGAAATTTTTTTCAGTGTCTAGTGTTCTAGACAAGTGTTTAATGGGATTCTGATCTTACAACTCAAAGCTATGAGCTTCCCCAAGTATTCATAGCTTCTGATTTTTCTGAGGTCCCAGATAGGACACAGATGCTTGAGATTCATTTACCCAACAAATATTTAGGGACTGTGTACTTGTTCACCCCTAGAGTAGAGAACAAGACAGACATGGTCCCTGCTCTCTGGTAGCTTCCTGAGAAAGTAGGTTTGGTGAAACATTTTACCCTAGATGCACCGGCACCCTTTACTGGCCATTGCATCCAATCCCCCAATTGCTGTATCAGCTACAAATAGCTCAGAACTGTCTTTTTCTCTTGAGAATTGCCCTCTATTAATAGGAGCTACTTTATCCATAAACACCTGAAAGCTTACTTACACGCCTGTTACCCTTAAAACTGTCAGTTAGCTTACCAGCAAAAATGGGTTTATTCAGGAATAGCAGACAAATGCATTTCAGAACATGCAAGCTACTACAAAACCATGGTTGTCTAGAGAACAAAGGAGAGGAATGCTCTTTTATAGAGGAAAGGGCCCTCTGGGAGGGGCTGTTATAAACAAGAAGTCCATTGGAGGAAACTGGGAGTTCCAAGTGTAGTAGCTTTTTATTGGCTGAGTTGTGATGGTCTCTCACTAGCTGGGCTCTTTCTGGACAAGAAGAAAGTCCTTATTCCTGTCTGGGAAGTCAAGTACACGCTTTTTCCTCTCGATTTTGCTCAAGTGGTAGTAGAGCTTGAAAGCTTCTTCTGGTCGCCCAACTCCATTTTAGTGAGGTTTCCCTTTCTTTATTTTCGTACCCCTAGCCCCAGGGGTGACTGATAGCCAATGACCATAAAGGAATATAAAAGTCAGGCCCCTTTGCCTTAAAGTGGGGTACCCCCATGATGCCATTCATGCTCCAAAGCTCCCCCATGAGATCAGGCTAAGGCTATACTTCTCTTGAAACTACATCTTTATTTAGCTTTCCCCCCTATTTTCCTCACTTTCCTCCAGGTTTTTACTGAGGACATCCCCAGTAAATCATCTGCCCAAGAATCCCCATTTTGTCTCTGCTTCTAGAGAACTCAAGGACACTTTAATTTTACTTACTCAGCACATATGGATTGGTGTTTCTTGATGCTTCTTCTCAATTCCCAGGTAGGGTTGCCAGATTTAGCAAATAAAAATGCAGAATGCCCAGTTAAATTTGAATTTCAGAGAAACAATGAATAATTTATTAGTATAAGTATGTCCTGTGCAATATTTGGGACATACTTATACTAACAAATTATTCATTGTTTCTCTGAATTTCAAATTTACCTGAGAGTCCCATATTTTATCTGGCAACCTTATTCCCAGGTGGTTTGGGTTTTTTGTTTTTGTTTGTTTTTTATAGTCATAGCTTTATCTTCCGTAGCTTCTCAACAAGCACAGACCTTAGCACCACCCCCTACATTTCAACTTTCTCCCTCCTCTTCAACAGAACTAACTCTGAGTTCTAAGGCTCAGATGGACTTTACTCATCTTCCTGTCAGGTCTCCCAGAACCCCACTGCAAAAACTGATACCATTTTCTGAAGGTCCTGTTTTCTCTTTAAATCTCTAATACCTTAAATCTCTAATACCTTCTTTTTCTAATTATCCCCAATGGGAGTGACTCATGATTTTCAAGCATTAGTATCCAAACACTCTTGTATTCTACAAAAGCATCCAGAAGTAAATACTCATTACTATAATTTCATATAAAGGGATTTTGGGATGAGGAAGGGATAGCTCTATTCAACTATTAAAGATAAGAGAATAAAATGAGGATAGCCATGTTAAATTTGGATAAGAAAATATGACAACAAACCAAAAAGTAATTTTTAATGTATGAATTAAAATAATTTAAATGCATACCAATGTTCTGTAACACCTGTCAGTTAGAGGTGTAATGACAAGTCGAGGTGAATTACCAAGATATTCATAAGCATATTTTACATTGCAATTAATGATACGAACTCGAGCATTTTCAAATTCCCAATAATATCGAAGCTGAGCAAGCCACTGGAAATCTGTATCATGGGACACACCTAGAAAGAATAAATTAAAACAAGACACATAATTCTGAAATGGAAAAATAATTTGAAAAATAGGTATCCTATCATCTTTTATAACAGCAAATAATTTGTTTTCCAATTTATAAAAAAGATCATGTAAAATAAATTCTGTTGAAAGAGAAAAAGATGTATAGTATAAATCTTTATTTCTAGAAGCTATTAATATTTTATCTTTAACATTACAGAGAAGAGTCACATACCCATATCAATCATGTCCATGACCACATCTCTGGCATGGACATCAATTGTAACCAAAGCTCCCAGAGTAATCCTGGTCTGCTTAGACAGTTTTCCCCTTACCAGCTCTACAATATCATTTAGTTGATTCTGAAGTTCCTTGTAGTACTTCTTTAATGCCTACAAAATAAAAAAGCAATTAAACTAATGGTATATAGTATCTAAAACATGTATTTTATATACTCTTTTACAAAACAATTCTGACTTCATAATATATCTCAATATAGAAATGAATTCTAGAACAGAATGACTTTGTCTAAGCTTCATAAAATACAAGAACAAGTTTCCAAAGAGTTGTATAATTTTAATGCTAGGTGTACAAACTGGTGGGAAGACTGCCTTTACAAAGAATAGATAAGCTACCTAAGAAACATAGCAGTAGAGAAGAATGTATATGTAAAAAAAAGCTTTGGGGCACCTGGGTGGCTCAGCTGGTTAAGCATCTGACTCTCGATTTTGGCTCAGGTCATGATCTCAAGGTTGTAAGATCAAGCCCCACTTCAGACTCCATGCTGGGCATGGAGCCTGCTTAAGATTCTCTCTCTCCCTCTGCCCCTCCCCCGTGCATGCTATAAATAAATACATACATATATACATACATACATAAATACTTTACCTCTGTCCCACCACTTATAACTTCCTGTGTCTCAGAAGTCCAGAACATTTGAGAAACACAAAGTACAACTTGGCCAGGCCACTCTCGAACCCAGTCTTTTCTTGCGGATTCTGGATAAGCCTGAGTAATTAAAATGCATTTCTAACTTTAAAAGATTATGGAAGGAATAAAAAGCTAAATGTCTAACAATAATGAAATACAATATTTGGTACATTCATAGGCTAGAACATCACATAGTCATGAAAAGTTTCAGATGACTATTTAAAAGAAAAATTGTTATAAATTATATTTTAAAATTATTTGTTTATTCATACAAGAGTAGAAAAATGAACATTAATATGTTAACAGTTATCTCTGGAAGAATTTAATTGTTGATTATTCTTAAAATTGATTTCTATATGATTTTTATGTTGCTTTGCTATGGGGAGTTGTCAAGTTTTCTATATAGAATACATATTATTTCTATTATAATGAAATATAAGGGTTTTATTAATCTGTAAAAAAAGTAGCCCGTCTAATAGATTATATATTGATGCTGATTTAATTGAAAAGGAGACTATACAATCTAGTGGAGGACTGGGTTAGTAGTTAGAACCCTTGTAGGATTTATCTATAGTTTTTCTAAAAACTTATATGACCAGAGTATACAATTTGAACAATTAAATATTTGTTGAATTATACATAATTTAACAATCTGTGCTTTTGAGTTCAAATTATACTTTCATTTCTTTCTAACATTTTTATGTTCAAAATGCATTTAAATGGATTGAGGGTAGAGTTTAACCTTTTAAAATAAAATAACATGCTTCAAGTGATAATAGTAGATTCAAATTATAAACTGAAAAAACTGCAGAACAAAATTTGAAGTTGACACTAATGGGAACTATATTTTTAATACAATAACACCATCTTGCAAAAAATAACGTTGAACGTAAAGATATAAACTTAAATACATTGTATTAGCAATATTTAGAAATAAAAACAAATGACAAGTTTCAAAGAAGGTAAGTTTCAAAGAATGTATGAGCCATTGCTAGGTACATAGAAGGTAAATTTCTATACTGAATAAGGAAATACTTTCATGGATAATGTTCATTTTTTTTCCTACATATTTTAATCTGTTTGGGGTCATAAATAGAAAAAGAAGAGAAAAAGTCAAGTTTTATCTGCAGGAACATTGAAGCTGACTAGAATAGCTACTGCAATAAAATGAGCTTCACCGTGTGAAAGAAAAGGGTACCTCACTCATATAAAGTAAGTTTGCTGGATTTTAAAAGGCTGCAATGCAGCCTACAAAAATATACTGAATTTTATTATTCAAGATTAAGTTAACTGGATTAGCATAAGTAAGATACATGTAGTACTTAGGTGTTACATTTCTTTCAAATATTATATACCCTCTTTTAATGTTTGTTCATCTCATTTTGAGTTTCTAAGTAATTGTTTAGGTGTGAACAGCAGGAGATCATGCATTTAACACCCCTGTCTGAGGTTCCTTCTGATCCCAGGGGCTGTACACAAAATACCTAGATGCTCTTCCATTTGCTCTTTATCTTGTTAATTCCTACTTTGAGTCTCACTTTCAATTTCACTTCCTGTAAGAGCCTATCCCTAGAAAGGTGCCCCCGATCCTAACTCATATATACCTTATTCTTTCTCATAATACCTTTTGTCTTTTATAGCACTTAATCACATATTATCAATTCTTACTAATATTATTATCTTAATGTTAGAAACAAAATGTAAAAAATAATAAATGGTTTAAAATAGTAAGAACTGTAAATGTTAATTTACCAGCACAAATTCAAAACCTCCTAAAAAGAAAGCACTTGTGGAACATAGGGTGTACGTTAAATCTTAGGAAACACACCAGCCTGGCTGCCGCGATCACATCATGAATACTCCGTAGCATTAAATCTTCCACTTGAATGAGCCACTTTTCCACAGCACCTCGTGCTGCAGACGTGGAAATAAGGGCAATCAGCTGCACTCGCTCGCCTTCAGAGCTATACATGGCCTTAATATCCAAATTAGGAAGGAATTCCAACTTAGCAATGCCCTCGAAGCATTTTTTTAAATGAGGCTGAACTCTAAGTGGGTCTTTGGTCTCTGACAAAATCTCTAACATTTCATCATTAGATAAGAAGAAAAAACTAGAGAAAAACATGAAAATACAAATGCTTTAGTTATCCTTCATCACGTATCAGAAAATGCTTTAAGTTATAGCACAATTAATTATTCATCATACCGAGGGAAGAAAAGTCGTTTTTTTTCAAGATATGCATTAAGCCCTTTCATAATTTTCTCCAAAAGTTCGCTGCAGTTCTGCAATTTTTCCAATAAACCTGCTAAAGAAGCAGCAGCAAGAACCTAAAAGATACACATTTGTTCAGGTCAGCACTTATATACCAGATATAATTATAAGTCCTAAACATTTGTCTATAGTATATGTCAAAAATGTTGAAATGTCAAAAGGCTGATGAAAATTGTTACAAAATTTTTTGTCATGTAAAACTATTGTAATTCAATAAATCAAAAAATATTCTTATCCAAGGATGCAAGTTACAAATGAGAAGTTATAACTGTCATGCACATTCTCATTTCTACTATATTCTTCTGAATGATGTGGGAAAAATCCTTTCGGTTGGTATGTGGTTTAATTTTTACATTTACAGCTGTCAACTGTAAACAATCTACAGTATGTGTTGGTGAACTACATCCCATGGGCTAAATCCAACTTGCTGCTAGTGTCTTTTTTTTTTTTCAGCTTTATAAGGTACAATTGACAAAAAAAAAAAATTTGTATATATTTAAGGTGCACAACTTGATGTTTTGATATAGGAATGCACTCTGCTGCTGGTTTTTGTATGACCTGTGAGCTAAGAATTATTTTTATACTTTTAAAAGGATGAAAAAATGAAAAGAAAAATCATATTTCATGGCACATGAAAATGTCACTGTCCAGAAAGTTTTGTTGCAGCGCAGACACATCCGTGCAGTTACATACTGTCTCTGGCTGCTTTCTCCCTACTACAGTGGTAGACTTGTGTAGTTGCAAAAAGACTGTATGTCCCACAAAGTCTAAAATATTTACCACCTGGTCCTCTGCAGAAAAAAGTTACTGACTTCTGACCTACAAGAAATCATGTTTCACAAAGGTTCTGAGATTACTGTGTAAGGCAAAATCCTTGGAATGCATCCATTTCAGCATACTATTGACTCCCAATAAGTCCAGCATGGCTAATTTTCATCCAGCATTGGAAGAAATTCTTATTTCTTAAGTTGAATACCAGATAAAAAAGTGGATATATATCTATGGACTATGTGTACTATGTGTATGAAAAATACATAGTCTGTCTTTCAACATGAGATTCACACTCAACAAGGTGCTATACTCACTAGGGGAGACACATAGCAAGTGAGGCCAACTGAGAGAACTGCAGATTCTTTGTTCCCATTGCTCCCAAGCATATAGAGTCATTGAGTAGAATGTCAGGTCAATCACCTATACTCATTCTCTCTTTCTCTTTCTCTCTCCCCACCCCCTCCCCCCTCCATCTTATTTTATTTTACAGTTTATTTTACAAGAGAAGCATAGCAGTGAGTGTCTATCGCAGTCAAATGAGTTAAATGTGCATTTGAGGCAGCTGCATTATTAGAGTTATAAGTAGTGTATCGTATGCATTGAAATGTAAAGCTATTTTAATGCTTGATGCTTTCTTCTGTTTTTCTGAACTTTCCAGTTTGTCTACAGTGAGCAGGTTTTGTTTCTGTAATCAGAAAAAAAAGAGAGCCAGATGCTTTCTTTAATAACCACAATGAAAGGTTTCCTTTATTTGTAAGAGACAAAACAAATGCTTCACCTTTGGATCTTTTGCACAGAACTTCATGATATCTCTCCAATGTCTGTCTACTGTCTGAAACTGACGCCCTTCTTCTGGCATCTGTTGCATGATGTCCTCAGAACAAAATATGGGCTCCAGGTACAGCCAGTGAGCTTGTACTTTTAACCATTCATCAATCGTTTCTTGTATTCGAATCAAGCGGTCTTCCCAGGCCTTAATGAAAAGCACACTGCACTAAATTCCAGTTATTTCTTTTACAGATTTTATTTATTTGTTAGAGAGAGAGAGAGAGAGAGAGGAAGCACAAGCAGGGAGAGCAGCAGACTCCCCGCTGAGCAAGAAGCCCGATGCGGGACTCGATTCCAGGACTCTGGGATCATGACCCGAGCTGAAGGCAGATGTTTAACTGACTGAGCCACCCAGGCGTCCCCTAAATTCCAGTTATTAAAGAAAAAACATAAATTACAGCAAGGAGGGACACCTGGGTGGTGGCTCAGTCAGTTAAGCATCTGCCTTCAGCTCAGGTCATGATCCCGAGATCCTGGGATCGAGTCCCGAGTGGGGCTCCTTGCTCAGCGGGGAGTCTGCTTCTCCCTCTGCCTGCCGCTCTCCCTGCTTGTGCTCTCTCTCTCTCCAACAAATAAATAAAATCTTTAAAAAAATTACAGCAAGGGATATTTATTTAAAATTTACTGTTATTTTTAAATCAATGCAAAACAGCTCAAGTTCATTTGTGGGTATCCTATGGACTTAGAAAAACTCTAGGAAGTCCCAAGTTGTCCTAAGTCATTGAAACTCACCATAGGAAATGGCTAGTTATTTAGACCAATTTCTTAATCTTTAGGGAACCATTCCAAGCCTGAAAAGCATCCAGAAATATCTTGCTGTACACCAGTGGTTATCAACCTAGGGGCTATTTTGCTCTCCACCCCAGGGGACATTTGACAATGTCTGGAGACATTTTCATTTGTCACAACTGAGAGGAGAGTGCTACTAATATCTCGTGGGTAGAGGCCAGGAACACCACTGAACTTCCTAACATGTACAAGACAGCCCCCACGACAAAGAATTATTGAGTTCAAAATGTCATTAGTACCAGGTTGAGAAATCCTACTCTGCATCAACACAACTTGGAGGGGGCAGGGGGAGGGACAAGCAAACAAGTCTCCTTATTCTCATAGGTTTCCTAGAATTGACAAGATATTTTACTAGCTGAAGACCATTATACAATCTCTTTGGTTCTTAAATATGTGGCCTAAGATCCTATGTGTCAAGAAACTAGGCCTCCTATTTTTATTGTTTTAAAAGCTGTTAGAGCTTTAAAATTTTTTCTTGTAAATTCTCCCTTGTTAGATAAGAAATTTCTACAAAAGACATAATATCTCATCAGGAGAAGTAGACCAGCCTGATTCATGGGAAAATGTGTAGCATTACGTCCGTTTGGAAGAACACCACTCTGTCTTCTCCAAATTTTGAGAGCCAAGGTCTTCCATGAAAGCACTATTTATGTTCAAATTAAAACCAGAATACCTTGGCTTGAATCCCAGTTCTGTCATTTATTACCTGGGTGAATGTGGGTAAATTACCTATCTTCCAATGCCTTGGTTTCCTTATCTCTGAGTACAGATAACATTGCCCATCTTGAACATCTGTTATGGGGGTTAGATGGTTTAATAAATGTAAAGCCCCTAGAGCAGGGGCTGTAAATATCAAGGGAAGCATCCATTTGTTGTCTGTGTTTTCCCCCATTTTATATAGCCCCCAGTTAGAACTTTGATATTAGCCATGAAGCTATTAATTATAATTTGTTTGCTTTCTGTATTTACCCATATCAACTATAAGAATATGAAATAACCTAAGTCTCAAATATCATTTGTTTTTATATCAAGTGGACCATAATTCATTAATTATTCTAAAAGACCCTCAAGCTGGTTGTTTACAAATATAGCTAAAATATGGTATATAGAACTTCATTACAAGTTACAAGAATATAGCATGAATCAGGGTCTAGGCTGCCTAAAGTTAGAATCAATAATACCAACTGTTTTCCTTCCAAGTCTACCACTGTCATTGGGAAAGTTTTTTTAAATAAAACAAATCTGCTCTTTTCAAAATTACTAGAGTTAATGTCTCAGATCTGTTCTATAGGGTTCCACACTAATTTTAAATATCTGTTCCTGTATGTCACCAAAGCTATAAAACAAACTGACTTATTTCCGCAAGACTATATATGTAATAAGATTACAATTTTTATAAATGACCAGAAGCTATCATATTTGGCATACCTTGATCTCTTTTTCAAATGGTTTGATGAAAGGTGAGCCTCTCATTGTCTGAGTTTTTATAATTTGATCATCAAGGAGAGTCTGAATCTCATCTACTGAAGAAAGAATAGAGACTCCAGTATCACGATATGGACTTATATGAAAAGCAATATCATCCCAGGTTCCCATCATTGTATGCAGGGCTTTCTCTAATGAAAATTCCTAAAAGGGAGAAAAGGAGAAAGAAGGGGCTGGTGAAGAAAGATCTTATTTACTGTATCGACTTTCCCTGGTGAATCCAGTAAGCATTGGATGCACTACACAGTCATTTTCTTAGCATAAGACACTGTAACTCTCTTTAAGTTAAAAAGGTTTCTCAAACAATTTAAAAATTCCTAAGAATAATAATGTAGTTTAAAAAAAAATTCACTTGGGCACTTGGGTGGCTCAGATGGTTAAGCGTCTGCCTTCGGCTCAGGTCATGTTCCCAGGGTCCTGGGATCGAGTCCCGCATCGGGCTCCCTGCCCCTTGGGAGCCTGCTTCTCCCTCTGCCTCTCTCTCTCTCTCTCTGTCTCTCATGAATAAATAAATAAAATCTTTAAAAAAAATTCACTTGCTAGGAAAACTACTACTGTCACTATTAAAATAGACACTAGAATAAAATACCTGCTGAACTTTCTGTGAAGTAGCCTTTCTACAGGCTACAGTCTGATACACTTTCTGTATATCTCAAGAACCCTAGAAGGTCATACTTATTCTGCTAGAATACACACGCATCACATGACACACACACATGAAGAAGTCAAAGGAGCCATTTTTAGTTTGGATTTCCTACAAAGAATAGTATAAAAGTACACACGTTGTCGGGGGAAAAAAGAGTGGTCTCCTATTGTGTTCCTCCATCTCCTCCCACTACTATCCAGTACTATATACTCAACCCCAACAAAAACTGTGATCATTTGATTAACAAACTCATCAAATAAAGTATTTCAGTTGATCTTCATATTTACCTTGCTTGCACCTGCACTTATCACTTCAAATTTTTCCAAGTATGGTGTAAGGTTTAATTTTAAAATTTTTCTCAGTGTAGTTCCAGAATCTGGAGTCAAGTCATAGCCTACAATTTCTGATATCTGCTTCCAGTGACGAGTTCTCATTCCTGGATTACATAAGATGGAGACAGTAGGGATATAATCCTAATGGTGAAAATATAAACAATAATGAGTCACTCTTTTGACTGCCACGCACACATAGATTTTATAGATGAAGGCTCAATAGTGTAAAGATTACAGTTCTTGAAATTATTTGACATATTTGATGAGTCCAGTCAAAATCCCAATTAGATTTTAGAGAAGAGAAACTAACAAAATGATTCTAAAGTTCACCCACACAAATAAACATTTAGAAAGACCAGAAAATTTTAAGAGCAAAAAAGAAGAGGGGTAAATATTCTATATGATATTAAACTATATGATAAGACTATGCTAATTAAAACTGTGGTATTATTATAGAAACACAAAGTTGTTGTATATATTATATGTAGAAACATATAACGTAACATAATACATAGTTACAAATACACACACATACACGCATAACATAAATGGGGGAAAAGCCTGCACCAAAATGCCAAAATGTAACCTGTTTGGAAGTGAAATTAACTGCCAAGTGAAAATACTTAGTTCATCATTCTTGATATTGACATTAGAACATTTTCTTTATTTTTTTAAAGTTTTTTTCATTATTATGTTCAGTTAGCCAAAATATAGTACATCATTAGTTTTTGATGTAGTGTTCAATGATTCATTAATTGCATATAACACCCAGTGCTCATCACAACATGTGCCTTCCTTAATTTTCTTTAAAATCAAGAACAAGATAAGCACACCTATTATTACCACTTCTAATGAACACTGTATTGAGTGTCCCAGCCAATGAAGTAATATAAACAAATAAAAGATTGGGGAATAGAAATTTAAAAAACAAAACTACCCAAAGAAAACCAAAACATGAATTCAAAAAGATATATGCATGCTATGTTTACTGCAGTATTACTTATAATACCCAAGACATGGAAGCAACCTAAGTGTCCATCAATAGATGAACGGAAGAGGATGTGGTATATACACAATGGAATATTACTCAGCCACAAAAAAGAATGAGATGAGGGCACCTGGTGGCTCAGTCAGTTAAGCCTCCATCTCTTGATTTTGGCTCAGGTCATGATCTCAGGGTTGTTAGATAGAGCCCCAAGGGACACTTTGCACTGGGCATGGAGCATGCCTAGGGTTCTCTCTCTCTTCCTCTCCCTCTGCCCCCCCCACACTCACGCACGTATGCATGCTCTCTCTCTAAAAAAAAAAAAGAATGAGATCATACCATTTGCAACTTGGGTGGACCTAGGGGGTATAATGGAAAAAAAACTGACATTGTTCACAGATTATTGTCTATGTACAATGACTGGATATTAAATTAATATAAAGAAAATTAAAAGAATTACTATATATAAGCCACAGATAGCATAATTAACAAAAAGATCAATTTACGATAGCAACAATAAAATAAAGTACCTAGGGATAAATTTTGCTTAATTTTTTAAAGTTTATTAGTATCTTTTTTAGTAATCTCTACACCTAACTTGGGCTCAAACCCAAACCCTAAGATCAAGAGTCACATGTTCTTCCAACCGAGCCAGCCAGGTGCCCATACCTAGGGATAAATTAAGTGAAAGCTGTGCAGAGCTATTTTGGAGAAACCATATAACTTTATTAAAAGATGTTAAAGAAAATCTAAATACCATGCACTGATAGATTCATTATCATATAACTGACAAAAGATTATTACCCAGAATATATTATTAAAAATTTCATAAATTAACAATAAAAACAATAGAAACAACCACTGAAACAAAAATGACAAAAGAGTCAAAGGGTCTAAATAGACATTTCACAGAAGAAATATGAAATGTAAGTACTTTGAGGGATCTTTGTTCATAAGACCATAAGTAGGAAAATCAATGAATTAGGTAAGTAAGCAATATATAGCAGTGAAAATGAAGGACTACAGTCATTCCCAAGACATGGATGAGTTTTAGAAACATAAGGCTGAGTGAAAAAAAATCAAGTCACGTAAGACTAAAAATGGATGATATATTTTTATAAATTGTTACATACAAATGTGAACAAACAAAAGAATTACAAACAATTTATGACACACTTATCTTCAAGGGGGATTAAGGGATTTAAAACTGGGAAGGATTACATAGAGAGAAGCAAGACTATTGATAATTTTTTAATTTTAAAGAATAGGTAAGAGTTCATGCATGTTCATTTTCTTCATAGCTTACATGTATGTTACATATAGTCCTCAAGTATTAGATAATAAAAATGTGTTAAGAGAGAGAGATAGAGAAAGAACACTTATCTCTTCCTGTTCCCAATCTAATTCAAAGCCCAACAAAATCATATTTACACTTCTGGTCACGTCCTTAGTAAAGCCTTATCTGTTTTCCAAATGACAAAATTAATTGCTCCATGCCCTTTTCTTTCAGAGGATACTGCTATCCTCTACCTATGAATTTCTTCATTCTGCCTCATATTACCAGTTATTTACAGCCATTTCTCTTGCTATATTGTGTTCTCTCCGAGGGGCAAAAGTCAATTTGTGTGACCTGGACAAGAAAAATATTGAACTAGAAGACTCTAATGTCAATATCCAAGCCACTAATTACGTAAAAAAAAATTTTTTTAAAGATTTTATTTATTTATTTGAGAGAGAGAGAATGAGAGATAGAGAGCACGAGAGGGAAGAGGGTCAGAGGGAGAAGCAGACTCCCTGCTGAGCAGGGAGCCCAATGTGAGACTCAATCCCAGGACTCTAGGATCATGACCTGAGCCGAAGGCAGTTGCTTAACCGACTGAGCCACCCAGGCGCCCTGTAAAAAAAATTTTTAAAAAGACATTTAGATTGGAAAGAAAAACATAAAGCTATCTCTATTTACAGGTTATATGATCTCATATATAGAAAATTCTAAGGAATTCATTTATTTTTTTAATATTTTTTAAGTAATCTATACACCCAACATGGGGCTCAAACCCTGATATCAAGAGTTGCAGTCTCCACCACTTGCACCAGTCAGGTGCCCCAATAAGGAACTCATTTAAAAACCATTAAAACTGATCATCATCATTAGCCATCAGGGAAATTCAAATCAAAACCATATTGAGATACCACCTTACACCAGTCAGAATGGCAAAAATTGACAAGGCAAGAAACAACAAATGTTGGAGAGGTTGTAGAGAAAGGGGAACCCTCTTACACTGTTGGTGGGAATGCAAGTTGGTACAGCCACTTTGGAAAACAGTGTGGAGGTGCCTCAAAAAATTAAAAATAGAGCTACCCTATGACCCAGCAATTGCACTCCTGGGTATTTACCCCAAAGACACAGATGTAGTGAAGAGCCATATGCACCCCAATGTTCATAGCAGCAATGTCCGCAATAGCCAAACTGTGGAAAGAGCTGAGATGCCCTTCAACAGATGAATGGATAAAGAAGATGTGGTCCATATATACAATGGAATATTACTCAGGCATCAGAAAGGATGAATACCCAACTTTTACACCAACATGGATGGGACTGGAGGAGATTATGCTAAGTGAAACAAGTCAAGCAGAGAAAGTCAATTATCATATGGTTTCACTTATTTGTGGAACATAAGGAATAGCATGGAGGACATTAGGAGAAGGAAGGGAAAAATGAAGGGGGGGGAATCAGAGGGAGAGATGAAACATGAGAGACTATGGACTCTGAGAAATAAACTGAGGGTTTTAGAGGGGAAGGGGTGGGGGGATGGGTTAGCCCAGGGATGGGTATTAAGGAGGGCACAAACTGCACGGAGCACTGGATGTTGCATGAAAACAATGAATCGTGGATCATTACATCGAAAACTGGTGATGTATTGTATGGTGACTAACATAACATAATAAAATTAAATTAAAAAAAAAAACTTGGGGGAGAAAGGAAAAAAATGGTAGCTGGTGTGTCCTTTCAATGTCATCTCAGGTATAGGGCCACCTAAGGAAAATGTAACTATTTAAAGACTGTATTTTATTCAACTCACTGTTTATTACTCAATGTCCCAGACTTTGTAAAATTACAACTTGTAGATTTTTGTCCAGTAGAGATGCAAGTAATTTCTGTTAAATACAAAAGGTAACTCCAAATGTTATACTTTGTTCTGTGTGACATTAACCAGTTTTAGATCAATACTAGCAATCTTTTTCTAACATTCCTTTATTAAATTGCCCATAAATACTCAGCTCCTCAACTACTCTCTGAACCAGACTTACCACCTAACTGCTTCTCTCATTAATTAATAAATAGAATAAAATATTTGATACATGTTTATTTTTATATTTGTATGACCATCATGTTTCCATTTTTTATAAATAATCATTTAATAAAGTAAATTTTTTTACTTTATTTAAAATTTACTTTTTTTAAAATTAGAGGATCATAGATTATCCAACTTTCCATTTTGATTAGTAAGGACTTTGTTTTTAACCTTCCATTTGTTATCATCATCATGTGTTTTTGCTTATTCCCCAGCATTCAACAGAACTTGATATAACATAACAGGCACTCAAAAATTATTTGTTAAATAAATGAATTATTAACACCTAAAAAGTAGAAAGGACATACTCTCAAAGTGAATAACTTTAGCTTTATTAAAAATTCATTATCATGCTCAGGTCATGATCCAGAATCCTGGGATCAAGCCCCACATCGGGCTCCCTGCTCAGCAGGGAGTCCACTTCTCTCTCTCCCTCTGCCACTCTCCCCACCCCCAGCTCATGCGCACTCTCTCTCAAATAAATAAAATCTTTTTTAAAAAAGAAATAAAATATGGGGCACCTGGGTGGCTCAGTTGGTTAAGCATCTGCCTTTGGCTCAGGTAATGATCCCAGGATCCTGGGATCAAGTCCCTCATCGGGCTCCCTGCTCAGCGGGGAGTCTGCTTCTCCCCCTCCTTCCCACTTGTGCTCTCTCTCACTATCTCTGTCTCTCTCAAAAAAATAAATAAAATATTTTAAAAAAGAGAAATAAAATCGAGAAAATAAAACTTCCCATTTGTTTCATAAGGTCAATATAATCCTGATACCAAAACCTGACACAGACATTACAAGAAAATTAAGATCAACATCCCTCCCTCCTCAAGAATCCTCAATAAAATGTTAGCAAATAATAAACTATGAAAGTACTAGAAGGAAACAGAGGGTTACAGGAGGGAGGGGGATGGGAGGATGGGGTAACCTGGTGATGGGTATTAAGGAGGGCACATGTTGTGATGAGCATTGGGTGTTATATGCAACTAATGAACACTACATCAAAAACTAATGATGTACTATATGTTGGCTAATTGAACTTAATAAAAAAAAACTATTCTGGAGTGTTATTTACTCTAGTTTTGGACTTTGATGTAAATGAGCCATAAATTGAAGCCCCAATCTGGAGTAAATAGATTACCATGGCCCCGAGGCCCAAAGGTCACTATAAAGGCAGCAGTCCAGAAAAGAATGCTCAATAAAGGCTCTATGTCAAAGAGGAAAAAAAACAAAAAAACAAAAAAACAACATTATCTTGGAATGAGGAAAGCATTTCTAGCTATAATTTAAAATTCAGCAGACAAAGGAAAAGAATGGGGGCACCTGGCTGGCTCAGTCGGTGGGGCATGAGACTCTTGATCCCAGGGTGATGAGTTCGAGCCCTATGTTGGGCATAGGGATTACTTAATTTAAAAAAAAGGAAAAGAATGATAACTACATAAAAATAAAAAACCTTCCTTTTCCATTTACTTTGGAACAATAAATCTAAATTCAAATAAAAACATAAAGAGGCTTTTGCAAGGAGGCGCCTGGGTGGCTCGGTTGGTTAAGCGTCCAACTCTTGGTTTTGGCTCAGGTCATGATTTCCGGGTTGTGAGATCCAGCCCTGAGTAGGGCTCTGTGCTCAGAAGGGAGTCTACATGAGATTCTCTCTCTTCCTCTCCCCCCTTTGTCCCTCCCCCTCTGCCCCTCTCCTTGCTCATGCTTTCTCTCTCTCTCAAATAAATAAATAAATAAATAAATAAAATCTTTAAAGAAAAAGTCTTCTGTAAGGCAAGAGCCATGATAAAGTCAAAAAACAAATAACAAATATTTGCAAAATACATCATAGACAAAGCATAGTCTCTCTAATATATATGTACTATATATACTTAGAATGTCCTAGGAAATTAATATGTCCTAGAAATATTAATATAGAAATATAAATAAGATTAATATATATTATGTCCTAGAAATCATCAAGAAAAAGATCAATAATTCAATAGATAGACAATGATAAGACCAAACAGTTCACAAAGAAATACAAAACATTCTTAAATATATACAAATATGCTTAACATTTTATGTAATAAGAGAAATGAAAATTTTCTTAGCAGATTAGCAAAAACCCAAGTTTATGGATATTCTCTTGTTGAGGGTGGTGAGACTTTAAATAGGCATAGCCCCTAGGTAAGGTAATTTGACTATAGATTTTAACCTGGCATTTACTGTTCCGGAATTTACCCTGAAGTCACACCTTCACACACACATGAAATCTAACACCAATATATAACATTATACAGGTACCAAAAAAAGGGAGAAAAAAAGTTTATATTCGATGAGAAAAGTCTCCAAGATAAAGTAATCAAAGCAAAGGGTGGGTAATAATACATATAGTATGCTATATTTTATGTAGAAAGATGTTAGAATAAGAATATATATTCACATTGTTATATGTGTAACAAAACTCTGGAAGTATACACATGAAAGTCCTAACACCAATAACCTGAGTTATATGGGTGAGAAACATGGGGAGGAGACTTTCCAGATACATCTTTTTTTTTTTTTTTTAAGTAGTCTCCACGCCCAGCATGGAGCTGAACGTGGAACTTGAACTCACAACCCTGACACCAAGACCTGAACTGAGATCAAGAGTCAGATGCTTAACCAACTGAGCCACTCAGGGACCCCTCAGATATATCTCTTTATATTTTTTAAGCCACACAACTATATTCAATATTGAAAATGATTTTAAGTGGTTTCTTTGAAAAAATTTCAGGCAGCTCGTGGAATCTCTGAGAGTGCTCAGCCCACACAGGAACAATGCTCCAAATGCCATCCGAGTTTGCGCTCTGAGTATGCCAACAGTGGAAACTTGGCACTACCCCTGGGACCACTGCCACTGCGGCCTAGGGACGCTGGAGGCCTTATGCACCATCACAAAAACACTTATTATCCTCTTGTAAAGATGACTGAAGCCCGTGAGGCTAACCAGCTTGCCCAAGGTATGCCACGACCAAGCACAGAATTGTGATACAAACCTAAGTGGTGTGACTTTACAGCTTTCCCAACTAACTGATACCCTGTGTTGTTGCGCTTGGATAGGCTGATGGGTCTGCCCTGGTCATTTTTTACCCTCGTTATATGGTTGTTGCTGGTCATTCTAGGCTTTGCTATCTGCCATCCATTGTTCTACAAAGGGGTTGATTTCAGTGACTTTATCAGCAAAGGATGAAGCATGGATTTAGTAATAGATCAAGTTTTCCAGCTTCAGCTTTGGTTTTGCTTCCAAATCTTTCTATTTCTCTTCATTAGCACTGGATGATGTGAATAGCTCCTACCAGGGCTTTCTAAAATGTCATTAGATGTGTTCATACCTTAAAAACTTTTATCTGCTCCATTACTGTGGAGCACATAGTAATAGTAGGATTCTCTTTTGGTTCTTCTTCAAGTCTCTCTTCTCCCAGAGATCGCCTTTTTGCTGCCTTTCTTTTTTCTTGTAATTCCCTCTTTTGCTTCATTTGGAAAAATTTCAGGGTCTTAAAAATTTCTCGGAAAAATTCATCCACATCAGCTTCCATACTTTCCCCATTAAGGTCCAAAAACCCTCCATCCATCCACCTGAATTGAAGACAAAATATTAAACTCAGAAACTTCTGGAGTGCAAAGGGGGACTTGGAGATTCTCCAGGCTAACCTCCTCATTTTATAAGAGAAACAAGTGCGGGCCAGAGCAGTGAACAGTTTTTCTCAGTCACACAGGTAGAGTTGACGGTAGAGAGATAATATGAACACCATCATCTCACCATGCTGCATGTGTTAAAATATGCATCAGACTATAAACGGATGACTAAGAGTAGCCAAATGAAATGCAGATTTGACTCCAAAAAATATTAGTCAACTTCATTACTTGCATAAAGAGGTGAAACAGCTCTGGAAAACCCAAGTGAGACTTTAGTATCATATTAGTAAGGTCAGGTGCTACCTTAGCACCAGCTGGCATTTCTCCTGTATGACACGTAGTTCTCCTTCAAATGGATGAATATGTCCTACTTTTAAACTCTTAGCCAACAACAATATCAAAAATCACTATACATCTTACAAATGCCTTTACATCATTTGCTTAATTTTTATTACATTATCAGAAATTACCGTTTTTCTGTCCGTTGCCACTTGAGAACAAGATTGAAAAACTTCTGATAGGGCTCAATGTTCACTTTTAATTTATCCAGTTCAGGATATTTTGTCAATTCCCATTTGAAAAGTTCCTCTTCTTTATTAATAAACTGAACTGCTTCCTCAGATTCCTGAATACGTTTTTGAAGTTGCCTTACATCTGTCACATACTGAAAGCAAATAATTTTTTGTCTCAACAAATATCCAAGTAATGTTATAAAAATAAGACTATATGACACTGCATAGGCTGTGTCCTTGCATTTACATTGCAACTTTATTTTTTTTAAGATTTTATTTATTTGAGAGAGAGACAGAGAGAGCATGCGCACACAAGCAGAGGAAAGGGGCAGAGGGAGAGGGAGAAGCAGACTCCCTGCTGAGGAGGGAGCCAGATGCGGGACTTGATCCCAGGACCCTGGGATCATGACCTGAGCCAAAGGCAGATGCTTAACCGACTGAGCCACCCAGGCACCGACACTGCAACTTTAAATATCAACTTTACAACACTACTATGATATAGAGCAAAAGATATGGTTCCATCTATTTTACAGATAGAAAGCTAAGTCACGAGAAAGATCACATACATAGTACCAGTTCCAGGCCTAAGAGTCAGACCCCTCTTTGCCATAGTAAGCATATATTTTTCTGTATTTTTAAATGTATGCAAACATGTCTCGTATTAATCTACAGGCCTGTCATAGTTATGCTCTTCGGTGTTTATCATACCTGTTGCATGTGGTCCAATTCTGCAAATTCTGTAAACTCTTCCATGTGACATGATTCCTTTTCTATTTCCAAAATCAGTTTCTCTCTCTTGGCAATTAGCTCATTTTCTTTTTTATGTTTAGCACTCTCAATGAGCTTTTTAAGAGACAATTTGGTCAGGTTAATTATTTTCTTACAAAGGAAACTTACCAAGTCAGAAATCTGAATGCTTTGTATGGTTAATAAAAAACACCACAGAAGTAAAAATGAGTACAAAAATGAAACACTAATAAAAAAATGCAAAGAATAATAAACCACTCAGAAAGATTTTCCTAGCTCTCTGAAGTGACTGTAATGACTCTTATGTATTATTAACAGATGCTGGGTAACGGTAGAAGCTACCACTTATTGAGCACATGCCATGTGTCAGAAACTACCCAATACCTTACCTACGTTAGCACAGTTATTATTATTATTCTCAGTTCAGAGATGAAGAAATTTAGGCTTATAGAAATCAAGAGGCATGTCCAATGTCACAAAGTCATAAAAGACAAAATCTGCCTAGAACTTTGGTTTATCTGACTTATTTGCTTTTTCATTCCTATACCATCTCACTTCCCACTTTAGGAGAAGTTGCTTTACACTAGAACTGTTCCAAAATCTAAAGTACATTCAATCTGATATAAAATTCTGAATCTGCTACTTCTTTTCTCTCTCATCCTGGGCCAGTTACTTACCTTCTCTGAGAGTCATTTTTCTCATCTATGAAATGGGGGAAATAGGAGGACCTGGGATTTCTGCAGGTACTAAATGAATTACTAAATGCAAAGCACTTAAGGCAGTGCTTACTATTATTACCAGTCTATAATAGTTCTGACCTCTTTAATGTCAGTCCCACTTCTTACCAGACCCTGTATTAAGCCTAACAGCCTGTTCTTATCCTGCAGGGCCATAAATGTTTCTAGCCCCAAACTCATATTGACATATAAAGTTAGTTTTTAAAGGTAGATTAAAAAAATGTGCTTAAAATGTCAGAATACAAAAATATATATTGAAAAAGATATTTACCTCATCATTTTCATCAAAGATGGGATTAATTTTCCTAGGCCACATAAGGACAGATGAATTTAAAGCTAAGTCTTCTTGAGAAAATAGGAAAACATCTAAAAAGTAACTCATTCGGCGTTTGGATTCCTACAAAAGAAACTCCAGATATAATACACCATGTAGAAAAACTAAGGCATTATGGAAAAGAGAAGAACTAACAATCTCTAATACTCTAAACAAGGCTTTGGAAACATGTCATGTTTATGAAGACAGAACCAAAACTCTCACTATTTGTAATTTATGATGGTATATGTAGACATCCCCAAAAAAATCTTCAGATAAACTATTAAAATGAAGAGAAATAAAAAATATATAACATTTTTATTTTTTTTAAGAATTATGTATTTATTTGAGACAGAGAGCACACACACACGAGGGGCATAAGGGGAGTGAGAGAGGTACAGAAATCCTCAAGCAGACTCCCTGCTGAGCACAGAGCTTGACCAAGCAGGGCTTGATCCCAGGAGATCATGACCTGAGCCAAAATCAAGAGTCAGCCACTTAACCAACTGAGCCACCCAAGCACTCCAATATACAACATTTTTAAAGAAAAAAGAAATTTCAAAAATTAAGAAAAAATTCAGTGATCAATATGAATTTATACATAACAATAAATTTTATATTATAGCACAAAGAATAAAATAAATATCCATAAGTCCATAGTGATATAAATAAGTCACTGAAAAAATAAGGGAAGAAGGAGACAAATCTCCCATGCAGAAGAATTCCAAATAAATTATGTAGCTACTTTACTCCAAGAGAGTGTTAACTCCCCAATTCTGAAGTGTGGGCTGCAAAGAGTGACTTCCTTCCAGAAAGGACATATGGGAAGGGAGAGAAAAGAGTGGAGAGACCTGATAAACACTACTTCAGACTGGAGATCAAGGTCAACATCAATAGTGGTAAGTCATGGTGATAATATGTACCCCTGATATGATGTGATGAAAATGGCATTTGCCTTTGTGATTTGATCCTCCTTCAGAAAACCCACTACCTCAGTCTAATTGTGAGAAAAACATCAGATGAATTCCAAAACGGGGCTACCCTCTGATATATCTGACCCATACTTCTCACCACTATCAAGGTCATTAAAAACAAAACTAAGAGGGGGAGCCTGGCTGGCTCAGTTGGTAGAGCATTCAACACTTGATCGCAGGGTTGTGAGTTCAAGCCCCATGTTGGGTGTGGAGCCTACTTAAAAAAAAAAAAAAAAATGAATCTGAGAAACTGTCAGAGCCAAGAGGAGCCTAAGAAGACACAACTAGATATAATGTAGTGTCTAAGATAGGTTCCTGAAACAGAAAAAGGACATTAAGTAAAAACTAAGAAAAACTGATAACCTGTGGACTTTAGTTAATAATGTATCAATACTGGTTTATTAATTCTAACAAATGTACCATACTAACGTAAGATGCTAATAATGAGTAAATTGAGTGGGGGGAGGGGCAGCAGGGACTATGTGATATAGGAACTCTCTGTACTATCTGCTCAATTTTTATTTAAATCTAAAGCTATTCTTTTTTTGCTTTTTTTAAGATTTTATTTATTTATTTGACAGAGAGAGACACAGCGAGAGAGGGAACACAAGCAGGGGGAGTGGGAGAGGGAGAAGCAGGCTTTCCGCCGAGCCAGGAGCCCAACACGGGGCTCGATCCCAGGACCCCGGGATCACGACCCGAGCCAAAGGCAGACACCTAATGACTGAGCCACCCAGGCGCCCCAATCTAAAGCTATTCTAAAAAATAAGGTCTATTAGTTATTTTATAAATTAATTTCTGTATTCAAGTAATAAAGATTCAAAAATTTAAAGATATCATTTAATATAACATTAAAAGATATTAAGTACCTGAAAATTTATCTAAAAAAGATGTGTACAGGGTGCCTGCGTGGCTCAGTTGTTTAAGCGACTGCCTTCAGCTCAGGTCATGATCCTGGAGTCCCAGGATCGAGTCCCGCATCGGGCTCCCTGCTCAGCAGGGAGTCTGCTTCTCCCTCTGACCTTCCTCCCTCTCATGCTCTCTCTCTACCATTCTCTCTCTCTCTCAATAAATAAAAATCTTTAAAAAAAAAAAAAAGAAAATATCCTCTTTAAAAAAAAAATGTGTACAACCTCTACAGAGGAAATTATAAAATGCTGACAGATTTAAAGAAGAGGCAAATAAATAAAACATATCTCATGAATTGGAAGACTCCATGTGTAAATGTGCCAATTCTCTCTATTTAATGCATTTTTAATCAAAATCCTACCAGATTTTTATGGAATGTGAAAAACTGATTGTAAAATTTATACTAGAAAGACACTAATTCTCAAAATTTATTATAAATTTGAGACAATCTTAACCAAATCCCAAAAGGTTACTTTATGAAATGTGATAAGCTAATTCTAAAATTGATATGAAAATGCTAAGGGCCAAGAACAAGCAAGAAACTTGGTGAAGAAGAATGGGAGGACATGTTCTACCAGGTATCAAGAGTTATTATTGCTAGAATAAGACTTTAAATACAGAGAAGAAACTGATGGTTGCCAGAGGGAAGGGCTGAGGGGATGGGCCAAATGGGTGTAGGGGATTGAGAAATGCAGGCTTCTAGTTATGGAATAAATAAATCATGGGAGTAATAGGTACAGCACAAGGGAATACAGTCAATGATATTGTAGGAGTGTTACATGGTGACAGGTAGTAGCTACACTGTGGAGAGTATAGCATAATGTATAGAGATGTTGGATCACTATGTTGTATATCTAAAACTAAAGTAACATTGTGAGTCAACTATACTCAAATAAAAAAATAAAAATAAATAAAAGTTTAGTGGCTTAAAGGGGGAAAAAAGATGTATTATTGCTGTAAAGTCAAGCTATTGTAATTAAATCAGTGTGGTATTGATACCAGGACAGACAGAAAGGCCAATGGAACAGAACAGAGTGTCTTAAATTAGATCTATATAAATATGGACACTTAATACATGATAGAGGTGGCACTGCAGAGCAGTGGGGAAGGGACAATCTCTTTGATAAATACATAATTACTCATCTATGTGGAAAAATAATTAGGTTGGACCTCACGTCATTCACAAAACTAAGATTCTAGGAAGACTGAAAATGTAAACATAAAAGGCAAAACTAAACAGGCCTAAAAAAGGATACAAGAGAAAAGCAACATGACCCTTGGTAGGAAAGGATTTCTTAAATAAGACACAGAAAGTGCTAGGTATAAAAGGAAACATTGGGGGAACCTGGGTGGCTCTGTCAGTTAGGTGTCTGACTCTTGATTTCGGCTCAGGTCATGATCTCAGGGTTGTAAGATCGAGCCCTGCATTGGACTCCACATTGGGCATGGAGTCTGCTTAAGTTTCTCTCCCTCTCCCTCAGTTCCTCTCCACCACACCTCTCTCTCTCTCTCTTTATCTCTCCCTCTCTCTCCCCTTCTCTAAAAAAGGGGGGGGACTCTTCCTGTTCTCCACCATGGTGGATCAAGGTGAAAAGGAGAACCCCATGTGGGAACTTTGCATCTGCAAGCTCTGCCTCAACATCTATGTGGGGGAGAGTGGAGACAGACTGACCCAGGCAGCCAAGGTGCTGGAGCAGCTCACAGGCCAGACCCCCATGTTCTCCAAAGCTAGATACACAGTTAGATCCTTTGGTATCAGGAGAAATGAAAAGATTGCCATCCACTGCACAGTCCGTGGGGCAAAGGCAGAAGAAATCCTGGAGAAAGGTCTAAAGGTGCAAGAGTATGAGTTAAGAAAAAAACTTCTCTGATACTGGAAACTTTGGCTTTGGGATCCAGGAGCACATCAATCTGGGGATCAAATATGACCCAAGCATTGGTATCTACAGCCTGGACTTCTACGTGGTGCTGGGTAGGCCAAGTTTCAGCATCGCAGACAAGAAGCGTAGGACAGGCCACACTGGGGCCAAACACAGAATCAGCAAAGAGGAGGCCATGTGCTGGTTCCAGCAG